CAGTTTCTTTTCTACACCGAATAAACCGTTTGAATGAAAACTAAATGACCATTTTACCCTTACATTCCAAAAACCAAAAATTACAATATCCATCAATATTTATATGAGGAGTTGGGTGGAAAAAAGAAGGGTTCATGGGCTTAATAATTAACCACTTTATATTTTTTCTAGAATTGATGATGCTATTGAAGATGAAGCTTCAAATGAAGATGAACACCATCACAACCATGAACATGACCATGACCATGAAAATTGTAATGATCCTGATCATGATCACCATCATCATGACCACAAACATGGTAAGTTGACTTAATTTTAATTTATCTATGCTTTTACACACACATAATTTGATAATGATATGATACTTTTTTTTTTTTTTTTTTTTTTTGGTTTTTTCCAGAACATCATGATCACACTCATGATCCTGGTGTCTCATCTGTCAGCATAGTTTGTGAAGGGAGCTTGGATCTTGAAAAGGTGTGGTGCTTTCATATAGTTATAAATTACTTTTATTTATATAGTCTTTCAATAGTAATAATGTTTCTAAAACTCTAAAACTTTAATTAAATTAGCGATATATCCCTTTATGTGTAAAGTTCCATTTTTGTAGAACATTATAATATGGTTTTCTATTTGTAACTTTATAAGTAACAAACAAACTGTGTGAACGATTGATTCCATTCCATTCCATTCTTTGAAGCCAACCAAACATGATAATGGAATGTAATGACACATTCCATTCCTTTATTGATTCCATTCCATCATACCAAGAGCCTGACAAATGTGATGTGTTATGCAGGCTAACATGTGGCTTGGGACATTGTTAATGGACAGAAGTGAGGATATATACCGAATGAAGGGGCTTATGTCAATTGATGGGATGGATGAGAGATTTGTGTTCCAGGTGATTGATTATTATTATTATTTCCCATTATAAATTATTGAAATATTTTCAGATAATTTGTATAATTAATTAATATATTTGAGTTTTGAAACAGGGAGTACATGACATATTTCAAGGGTCACCAGATAGGCCATGGAACCCTGAGGAATCAAGGGTAAACAAGATTGTGTTTATAGGGAAAAATTTAGATGCTCAAGAACTAGAGAAGGGTTTTAAATCATGTTTAATGTGAGAGCTCATAACTTACTGAATCAAACATCATATGATTTGAACTTGAACTTGATACGGATAATTGGATATGGTTATACTTTTTGTCGTGGTTTTGTTGTATGATGAACTATATCGCTTCCCAACTAATTGTCTAACTAACTTTTTACCTCAAGCTCAAATGACTAATCTGTCCCTTCCTTTTTTAGTTACGTGCTCTACTCCAATTTCTTCTAGAATAGGTGTATTGTCACATTACCCCTGCTCCAATATATGTGTGTGTGTGTTTGTGGGGGGTGGGGTGGGTGTTTGTGTGTGTAGGTAGGGGTGTGGTGGGTTGGGGGTGTTGAGGTGGGGCAAGGTAGTGGTGGGAGTGGGCATGTGTTGATATTTTATAATTTTTTTGGAATTAGAAATATGTGGAAAACAATGATTATTGAGGTGCTTTTAGTTGTGGAAAAATGGGCTGTTTTTCGGAAAATTTTCCAAGAAAAATGAGAATTTTGAAAACGCGTTTAGTTCGTCTATTTTTCTAAATTTTCACGGAAAATGAAAATTTTCTGTTTTCTAAAATTACAAAAAAGTTGTAAATTTTTGGAAAACAGATAATCATTGTTTTCCATATTTTTTAATTCTAAAATTTTCCTAAAATATAAATACGTACTCCTATCTCATCCAACTCTACATACCCTCACTGTAATACCCTCAACCCACCACACTCTTACCTACCTACACTCACCCCCACAAACACACACACACATTCCCACAAACACACACCCCCATCCACCCCCACCCTCACCCCCCATAAACACACACCTACAAACTCACACACACCCCCATAAACACACACACACACACCCATAAACTTTTGGAAAACCGATAATCATTGTTCGGTTTGTCTAGGGGTGTGGTGGGTTGAAAGTGTTAAGACGAGGGTTGGTAGTAGGGCTGTAAACGAACACAAACGAGGTTTGTTCATGTCCGTTCATTTAAGTTAGCCGAACAAATAAACAAACATGAATGGATAAGCAAATGAGTTTTCTTGTTCATGTTCTTTTAACAAATTACATTGTTCATGTTCACTCGTCTATGTTCGTGAACATGCTAAGCGAACATAAACAAACGAACATAAATGAACAAAGATAAAAAAAACATAATTGAAGATATATTAACATAAATAAACATATAATACACTAATGTAATCAAACACAATTAGGCATATGTGAACATAAAATGAATTTATATGAACGAATATAAACGAATGTAAATAAACAACATAAATAAACGTTTACGAACATAATTGAACGAACGTAACCATTGTTCATGTTCGTTTATTTAACTAAACAAATGATAATTTGTGTTTATGTTCGTTTATTAATAACATAAACGAACTTCCCGTCGAACGGTTCATGAACAGTTCACTGAACTGACGTTTACAACCTTAGTTGGTAGAGGTGAATGGGGTGAGAATGAGTGTGTTTATATTTTAGATTAATTTTGGAATTAGAAAAATGTGGAAAACAATGATTATCGGTAGGGATGAGCAAAAACCGAAACGAAAACCGAAAAACCAAAAAAATCGACATAACTGAAACCAAAAAACCGAAACCAAAGCAATAACGTACGGTTTAGGTTTGAACTTTACAAAAACCGAAAAATAACGTTTTGGTTCGGTTTTGATGTATAAAACCGCTCATGAAAACCAAACCGACCCACATATATATTATTTATTGTGTTTTAAACTTTTAATTTTAGACTTTAGACTTTATCTCTTTAATACTTTATGTTTATTTTCAACAAACTTTTAATTTTGTTAAAATTTGATCTTTTGAACACTTTTATATGCTTTTAGAATACTAGAATTTGTACTATTTATTTTAGTATATTTGAAGTAGATACAATACAATTTATCGTAACGTACTTTCACCGGGTTTGAGCCAAAAAACTAGAAAAAAAATAGGAGCTCATAAACCCACGGTTTAAAACCGAAAACCTATAAGCCCAACCCGGAAAACAAAAAAAACCGAACCATGCAAAAACCAAATCTATATGGGTTTAAAAACCAAAAAACCGACTTTCTACGGTTTGGTTTGGTTTTAGCTAAAAACCGATCCAAACCGACCCATGCTCATCCCTAATTATCGGTTTTCCAAAAACTTTCAAATTCTTTGTAATTTTAAAAAACGCGTGAAAAATTTAGAAAAATAGATGAACTAAACGCGTTTTCAAAATTCTTATTTTTCTTAGAAAAGTTTTTTGTTTTCCGATTCAAACTTCGGAACGATTTCATGGATTTGGATTGGGATTTGGGATAACTACATCCTGGACGGAGAACAGGAGAGCATCTGGGACGAATTCCAGTTTCAGGTCCTGGGGATGGGGATACCAAACCCCGCCTTATTAACATTCCAATTCTCACTCTGCTATACACTTGTTAAAAAGAAGCCATGGGGTTGCCCTCTCTTTAATTTATGTCCATTGAATATGGGATGGTGACATGGGGTGTCGATTTAAAATTGTTGATTTTTTCGTTTATAAGGATGTAAGTTTCGTTTTTTAATTTTTAATTTTTTTTGTTACGATACAAATATCTAGATATAAAACAAATACCCGTGAATAATTGTATTTTGTTTGTTAAAAGCAAGTCATTCGTTTATTATTGTACAAATTGTTTATACTAAAACCGATCTTTACTTGCTTTTCTAACACAATGATTGTAAAGTTTATCATAAATTTAAGTTTTTTTAAACAACCCATCTTTACTGATAACCTTTTGCAATTATGTCATATGCTGCAAATATAAAAGTGGATCGAATAGTCTCTTTCAAAAAAAAAAAAGTGGATAGAATAGGCACATGCAAAGTAGCTCAAAATGTTTTAAAATCAATTTTACCAATTCACTAAAGTTTATGACATATGCAAGGTAAAATAAAAAATACCATTGTTTTGTTTCTCAACTAACATAACGAGCGTGTTTGGCAAAAGTAGCTGTTAACTGGAAGCGGGTAGCGGTTAGCTGGTAGCGGGTAGTTGGTAGCGTGTAGCTGGTAACTGGTAGCGGGAAGCTGTAGCTTTTATTTGTTATATGAATGTTTGGCAAAAGTAGCTGGAAACTTTTGAAATATATAAAATTACATAAAAAGACAATTTATTAAAATAAAAAATATATAAATATATTTTTAAGGGTAATTATGGAAATTGATTTCAAAAGCTCCGGAGCGTTTTGTTAAAAGCTACATGAAGTAGCTTTTAGAATCGAAGCGTTTTGTTAAAACTAAAAGGTAAACGCTCGTACTGCCAAACGAAGCTTTTTGTTTAAACTAGAGCGTTTTGTCAAAAGCTAAAAGCTAGAAGCTCCCAAACGCTTCCAAAAACTCCGTACCAAACACGCCCAACATCGTAGTTAAAAATATAGATATACGGATATGTGACCCCTAAAATAAACCAGAATTCTCACTTGCTTGGGTTAGCAGGTACTTTACATACTGCTGTTATAAATTAATTTACTTTTCTCGGCCTTAAATCTTTTTTAAAGTTGTTAATGTTTTTTAATTAAATATAATCCTATTGTATATTATTTCATGCCTAACATGCAAAGGTTCACACCTAGTTCATAACAAATGGTATTCCTCATAGACCAGATTTTTACTTTACTCAAAAAGTTTGTATTTATTTAATTAACGTTTTTTAATTAAATAAAGCAGCCATGCATGATGGAAATAAAGATGAATACGATCGAGAGGATTTTTGTCATTACTTGAGAAGGAAACTTGGCTTGAAATGAGTCAACTACTATAGCATGGACCCGAGTTCCTGGAACCTACTCAATTTTTAGGATCTGTGTCAATTTAATTTTCAAAGGCTAGCTCTTGTGTGTTCATTAGTAGTGATGAGGGCACCATGGATGTGTAGCTTTTTCTTCGGCTTCTTTCTCATCTTCTCATCCATCTCTGCTGAATCTAATTACTTTTCCCCAGCAAAAGTTTCATCCACATGGACCAACAATGAATCATTTATATCCTCCATCAATTTCAGAGATGGCTCAAGGATCAGAGTCATTCTCAATAAAGAAAAGAAATTCCGTTGTGGCTTCTTCTGTAATGGAACCTGCACATCTTACCTCTTTGCGATTGTGGTTATCAATATAACAACCACCCGAGACAGTCTGGGGGTGATTTGGTCAGCAAACCGAGACATTCTGGTCAGGGAAGGCGCAATTCTGAATTTCACTGCAACTGGAGAATTGATGTTACAGGATGTCGATGGAAGCATAGTTTGGACTACAAACACTACCGGGAAATCTGTTGCTTCCATGAACCTAACTGAAGATGGGAATCTGCGGTTGTTGAATGTCCATAACTTGACAGTTTGGCAATCTTTTGATCACCCAACAGACTGTTTGTTACCTGGGCAAAAACTATTTCAAGGACAGAAGCTCATACCTAGTGTTTCCTCAACCAACTGGACGCCTCAAGTAGACTTATACTCTCTGCAATTCAACGAAAAAGGTTTGTTTTTTTTTGTTGGATCGAACCCGCCTCAAGTCTATTATAATAACACGGTTAATGGCCTAAATGAAAGTTCTCTTGAGTTCAGAGGTAGGAGTTTGTGTTTGGTCATTTCTTCTTCTAGGCCAAATTATTGTCCTAGTCTGATTGATATACCTCCATTCCCATTTGAGTATATAAAACTATTGCCAGATGGGCATTTGAAAGCGTTTGGATGGGAGAGAGACACCGATCTATTGGGTCATCTTGGAGGTTGTTCTTATCCTTTGGCTTGTGGGAGAAATGCCATTTGCTCGGCTGATCAACAATGTAGTTGTCCAATATCAAGCACCTCTCCTGCGACGGACTATTTTAGAGCAGTGAATGATCGCCAACCCAACAAGGGTTGCTATCAAGTTACTCCTCTCACATGTAACGCTACCCAAAACCATACTTTCATTGAACTCAGTAACGTCACGTACGTCACATTTACCTCAGACATGGAAGATGTGGATATTGAGACTTGCAAACAAGCGTGTCTGAATAACTGCTCATGCAAAGCGGCACTAATAATATTCAACTATGGTTCCAATTCAAGTGGGGATTGCTATTTACCTTCTGAGGTTTTTACATTGACGAGTCTTGATGCAGCGGTAGTTCCACAAAATGTTTTGGTTTTTATAAAAGTCGTGAATTCGTCTATACCCCAATCCCATGGTCGATCGTCAAACAGAAAAATTCTAGTTGCAACAATTATCGGTTCCACAATTGGAAGTCTTATGCTTCTTATTGTGGTCGTAGGTTTTACTAAATTCATAGTTCAAAACAAAAATATGAACAGTGAAAGTGAAGAAGAGTATCTAGATCAAGTTTCAGGAATGCCCACTCGGTTTTCCTATGATGAACTGAAAACAGCCACGGAGAATTTCAGTAAAAAGCTTGGGGAAGGGGGATTTGGATCAGTTTTCGAAGGAACTCTCAAAGATGGGTCGAAGATTGCAGTAAAATGTCTTCAAGGTCTGGTGCATGTTAAGAAATCATTCTTGGCCGAGGTTGAGTCCATTGGCAACATTCACCATGTGAATCTAGTTCGACTTAGAGGGTTTTGTGCTCGGAAATCACAACAGCTTCTCGTGTATGAATTCATGAGTAACGGATCATTAGACCAGTGGATCTACTATGGAGACAGGAAGCAGGTACTCCCATGGATAAGTAGAAAGAAAATCATTCTTGATATAGCTAAAGGTTTAACATATCTTCATGAAGATTGTAGACAAAAAATCATCCACCTCGATATTAAACCTCAAAACATACTCCTAGATGCAGACTTCAATGCCAAAGTATCGGATTTTGGGTTGTCAAAGCTCATCGACAGAGATCAAAGCCAAGTGATGACTACAATGAGAGGAACCCCTGGCTATCTAGCTCCAGAATGGTTGAGCTCAATTATAACCGAAAAAGTGGATGTATATAGCTTTGGGATCCTTCTTTTGGAGATCTTATGTGGAAGGAAGATATTTGATAGATCTCAGCCAGAAGAAAGTTGGCACCTACTTCGTGTCTTTCAGAGATGTTGGGAACAAGAGACGTTGTTAAACATAGTTGACAGGTATAGTGAAGATATGCAGGAACATGGTACAGAAGTCATGGAGATGATGAAACTGGCTTCATGGTGTCTACAGACAGATTTTACTAAGAGGCCTTCAATGTCAACGGTGATTAAGGTGTTAGAGGGAGTAATAAGTGTTGAACTGGACTTGGATTACAACTTCTCGTATCAAAGAATGCAGGAAACAACAGATGGACATGAGAAAAGCTCACAACCAGTGTTGCCACCTAGCATGTCAGCTCCAAGGTGAGTTAGATATAGGTTCTTTGTATGGATCGATCCTTTTAATGCTTGTCTTTTCTTTCTTAAAGAACGTTTATAATGGAATTCATCTCTTTATGTTTTGGTTAGGATAATTTTATTAGTGTATATTTTGTATATCTTTGTTATCTCATTCGTGTAGCCCAACATAGCCCTTTTTGTATCTTGTATATATTTACGTTTAATGAAAGATATTGATTCATGGGAAAATCATATCAAACATGGTATGAGAGCTGTGATAGCCTACTTTCCTTCTCTCCTCAATTGTATCCTTCTTCCTCCCTCTAAGCGGCGGCTAACCCTAACACCACCGGCCACCATTTTTTCTCCATCACTTTTCTGCACCATTGTTCCTTTTCTATTCTTACCCTGATCATCATGAGTAATCAAAAACCATACAACATTACTAGCATCAAGGATTACTTTCCATTAATCCCCGATCTCAACGAACTTAATTACGACTCCTGGCGTGAGTTGTTCCAAACTCACTGTCGCGGATTTGGAGTCCTCAAGCATCTCACCGGAGAATCCAAATCCAAGGATAATGATGATGAATGGTACAATCTTGATGTCTTAGTCAAGATGTGGATGTATGGCATTATGTCCCAACCTCTCATGAACGAGCAACTTGTAACATCCACACACAAAATTTGAGCCAATTTAAAACTTTTTTAAATCATTTAAAACCATTCAATCATTACAATTTGTTTTCAAAATAGTTTAAACATCAGAGTTTCCAGAAATCATAATCATTAATCGAGGAAGTGTACGGTCACGCCTTCGCCTTCCTGCGGCCATCCGCTGAACCTGAAACAATAAACTGAAACTGTAAGCCCAAAAGCTTAGTGAGTTACCCCAAAATACCCATACCCACAACAATACACATATAATCATAAACAACATACTATGAGTCCAGTCAACCATTGGGTTGGGATACCCCAGACCCTCAACCAACCGGTTGGAATGCCAACATATTATGGGTCCAATCATCCTCGGGATGGAATACCCCAGGCCCACAACCAACAGGTTGGAATGCCCACATACTATGAGTCCAATCATCCTCGGGATGGAATACTTACGGCCCACAACTAACAGGTTGGAATGCCCAGGTCTATTGGATTTCGCACAAAGCAGATAAGCCTCAACTGCCAAACAAACATGTGCACAAATAACAATCTATAGACAGACAAACCAATCTAACAGATCATAACAACATAACAACATCCCATCTACGAGGATACCGATCTAACGGATCATAGCAACATATAACATCCTGTCTATCAGGATACTGATCTAACGGATCATAACAATATATATATCATCCTATCTACCAGGATACCGATCTAACAGATCATAACAACATATAACATCCTATCTATCAGGATCCCGATCTAACAGATCATAACAACATATAACACCCTATCTACCCGGATACAAATCTAACAGATCATAACAGCATATAACATCCTATCTACCAGGATACCAATCTAACAGATCATAACATCTTAACAACATCCTGTCTAACAGGATACTGATCTAACATACAAACGCTTTACGCCCAATCATTCCGGATAATGCTTTCATCCTCTGTATTACCGCGACTGCTGGCACAGAGTTAGCCGATGCTTATTCCCGATTCTCAAACCCAACGCCACTTGGATCAGTATTGAAGGTCTTTTCCGAGATAGTAAAGATTACCACACCATTGAGCTTGGCAGTGAACTCCGCAACATGTCCATTGGTGATCTCACCATCTCGCAATATTGTCAATGAATGAAGAGCATCTCCGATTTACTTGCAAATCTAGACTCTCCTGTTCCAGAGAAAACTCTTGTCACATATCTCAATGGAGTTTCACCCAAATATGAAAATATGGCTACTCTTCTCCTACCACAGAGACACTCTCCCTATGTTTATGTAGGCTAGATCAATGCTCACGGTTGAAGAACTCTGTCTCAACCGAGTCTGTCCATCACAACCTCTCCATATAGACCACACATAAGCTCCCATCGTGCTCTAAACCACTGCCACCAGTCAAGCATCTCACAACCACAAGTAAAACAACAACCATGGTGGTTGTCGTCAATAGTAACAGCGCCGAGACAACCGCCGACTGGTTGCATCTTTTTTTCCTAGAATCCTCCTGCATTGCTGCCTTCACAACCCTTTAGCTGGCCCATGTCTGCTCCGTGGTCTAATAAGAGGCAACCCATTATCTTTCAACAGCAACAACAACATCTGCACCGACCCACAACACATGCACATGCTTTCAACATCCTCGGCTCACCTCTATAACATCCTTTGCATATTCATCAGAATGCTTTGACCCAGATAGATGTAACCCAAATCAACTTTTCGGGTTCGACTCCTCCTTGGCAGTGGTTCCCTCCTAGGAAAACTATTTAAGCTACTAATATTGTTCAAGCTTATAGTTCCATGACCCTTAATGATGCAAATTGGTACATGGATAGCGGGTTACCTTTCACCTTGCATCTGACACATGTAAACTCAATTCTTTTATTCATAAGGTCGGACGAAATGGAAACGGGAAAAGGGAGAGGGAAGCTTCCCTCTCACTGAAACACCATCCCTTGGGTGAGGGAAGCAACCCGCGGGAAAGAGGTGGGGGGAGGGGGTGTCGCACCCTCTCTCCTCATTCTATTGGGCATTTTTTTTAATCTTTTTTAATATTTATAAAATTATATACCTACTAAAAAATATATAAAGTATATAAAAATTCATGGTTTTTAATTCCCTACAAAATAAGTATAATATATGTATGAAATATATTTTTTTTTATAAAAATAAAAAAATAGTAAGGGGAGCTTTCCATCAATTCCTTGGGTTTTAGGTGAAGGAAAGGAAAGTATGAGAAATGATGGTGTGACCCACAAAAAGTGAGGGAAACATCCCTCCCATACTCTCTAGTCTAAGAGTTATTTTAACTTAGTCATTCTTGACAATGGTCAATCTACGAAGTACATTTCTTTTAAAGTTAAAAAAACATTTTTCAAAAGTTTTTAATTTTCTTTTAAAAGTTTTTAATTAGTCTTGTTTTCAGTTAAATAAAAAAATAATATTAATAAAATTAAATAAAACATACATATTTTTCATATTTTTAATTAGTTAATTAATAATTATAAATCCAATTTCTCAAATTTTTAGTTAGTGTTCTTTTATTTAAACTGTTTCAAGTGTTTGAATTTAGTTCATTTTGATTTTGTCTTTTATTTATTTTGTTTCTGTAGTTATTTTTTAAATCTAAAAATTAAAAAAAATCCAAAAACAAGTATGTGTAGATCTTCCAAGCAAGGTGTTTCTAGTGTATATCTTGTATCAGCTTCATAGAAATCTAAGGGGGAGAATGCACTCACGTATCGAAACGGAGTCAATAATTCAGTCATTATTGAAAATGGTAATTTAGCATGCTGTTCTAACATATCAAAACATAATCCCAACTTCCCAGTGCTGCTAAAGGATTGGCTGCTAGGAGAGATATGTTGGTCGAGACATAAGTAAGGAAGAGGAAGAGAGCTCTTTCAGCAAAGGGCAGGGAGACTGAGGTTGCTGACCTGGGTACTGGAAGTCAGGAGAATCATGAGGTGTATGGCAAGTGTAGACGAACTCACAAATTTGCTTGTCAAAAGTTCAAGTGTTATAGGTGTAGGGAAAGAGGGCATGTGCAACGGGATTGTAAGAAGGTTCATAAATGCTTTCACTGTCACTAGCCAGGTCATTTTCGGTCACGTGTCCTGATTTGGGGACCGAGGGAGTCTAGGTTCCCACGCTCATCATTCCTCAGGAGGTTAAAGTCGAACCGCAAGAAATCTATGGTATGTAATTTGAATCCCAATTCTGTATTGATATTATGGTTAAATTGTGCTTGATCGGTTTTGTATCTACCATGGAACCTTGCTGGGTATGGGTAAGTGGTATCCTTAGGTTAGTTCTCTGTTTTTCCTAATTAATGTACTGGGAATCTTCACATGCCTTTTTTCATGACAAGCATTATGGGTGGGTCGTATCTTGTTGGGCGTGGTTCAGTGGTTCAACAGGTTGTTCGGTTCCTTTGGTGGATCCAGTTTAGGGGTATGGATTGGAAGATGTATGGTTAAGGTAGTAGGAATAGTTCACCAACGAATTCAGAGTTCGGGCGTAATAGCATTCGTTCAGGTAGGACCGGCAGTTGCCCATGAGAGAACCTTTAGGTTCAATCACTATCGCTGCTAAGGAAGGAGCGGTAGCAAGGAGATGGTGGTGTCAGTCGCATGAGTCTTTGGGTCATTGGAAGTGGCAAGGAATTTTATTACCACCAAGGATTGTAGATAAATAGAATTCAAGGATTCATTCGAGGATTAGAAGTTAGGGTAAAGATCCTCCAATTCAGAGCAAGGGTTATGGTTTTAGTCTCCAGTGTTAGGGTTTTAAGGATTTGGTGCAGTATCCTGAGAAGTGATCGAGATTAGCAGATTTGCTAGGATTTCTGGGAGCATTCTTCGGGAATTCAAGAGTTGGACAATCATCGAGATCGGCTAGTAATGGGACGATGTTATTGGTAGATGCAGGTTATAGTCGGTTCCTGATAATCAATATGGGTTGGGGACCTAACATAATTTGTGGGATAAGAGAGTTTCGAAAAATCTAGGTGGGGGGGAATTGATCAGAATCTTCGGGAGCCGACTCGGGTGTTGAACTAGGGTAAGTTTCACTTCCTAATTTAAGGGAGGCAATAGTTTAAGGAGGTCATGAGTATAATAGGGGGACGGTTCATGCCTCGGGCACGCTAGGAAAGATTTTTGGAGATCATTTCTCTATTCCAAGATGAGAACCACTAGGGACTGAGGTGGAGTCGGACTTACATATCTTTAGGTGGATGGGACCGATGGGCAAGGCCGTGTGTTTACGACACTTCAGGTAGGACTTGGTAGAGATCGTAAGGTCGGGGTCTTAGACCTAGAGTTATGGATTGAATACCGAGATGGTTCTTGG